AAAAGCACTATTTTGATTGTAACTGACATCCCTCCCTCAAGATCCCACACCTGCTTTTTATATTTCCAGTCCCACGATTTACTTGCTTTCTAAGCAAAATGCCAAATTTCAATTGCAAACTGTATTCTGTGTTTCTGAATCGAAAACCAAAAAAACCCAAACCTGAGGAAATGCTAAAGGAGGAAGCCCTGCTCTGGAATGTACCAGGAAATGCACAAAATAACAGACATTATTGGAGCCTAAGGAGAAAACCCGTGTTTTTAAACAATTACTAGAGCAGTATAGTAATAGCATAAAGACAATTTCTGCGCCAGCTTGTTTCTCTGAAATTCTCTCTGCCACTGAACAGCTAGAACAGATAATAACTATTAGTAAATCAAACTCCTCTGCAATATCCAGCTGTGCCTCACGCATTTACATACAGATAGAATGGGTATATGTTTTTAATATGTATGTGATCCGTACTTTTACCACAGCCGAAGTGCATGCTACAAAGAAGGAGGAGAATGGGAATCGGATCAGCATGAGATAATAAAGTGGCCTAGATAAAGTATTAGCCAGCGATTGATCTCAAACCGGGATGCTGCTTCTTCTGACCTGATTACTTACTATGCATAGATTCCATTAAATAGAGCTTAGACATGGAAAGCTTCTGGAAATACTCTAAATGCATAGAAGGCTCTACAGCACTCCGAACCCAAATTGTAACTGCAGACCCTCCCTCCCTGAGTCAAGGCCCACATTCAGGATAGGCTGGGGAGGTTAAAGGGCCACCTGACAGCTGGTGGGAAGCCCTGCTGAGTCCCACAGGGAGGGCTTTTCCCTTCTCTCCCCTATGCCAGGCCAGCACCCTCCGAGTCGATGCCTCCCTCCTGAGCTGCTTCTCTGGTCCTGGCGGCACAGCGCTAACTAACAGAACGAAAGGCAGCGAGGGAGCTTAACAATCATTCAGGGTCACGGTCCCGTTTGAAAAACTGATGACAGCCATGAATTTTGCTTTTCAGGAAAGAATGCAAATCCCCACATGCATACACGATGTTGGATGCAATTTCAGGGGCTCTAACAGACTTCCTGAAGTCACAGACCCTAGGTCAAGGACTGGTGATCTTGTCCATCCCCTCTGTTTTGCAGATGAAGACACGAAAGCAGGGAGGGAATGGGGAGCTGCTGACAAGGGAAGGGAAGGGAAGGGAAGTGTGGAGGCTTTCCTGCTAAATCACAGCCTGACCTTACCTACCAAAGAACCCCAAAGGAAGACTAACTCAGCAGAAGGAATTCTCGTGGCTTACCTGAGCAAGGCTCTATTCAATAATGCCTCTCACCAGATCCCTTTTAGTCACAAATACTTAAACCCACAATCTGAAGAGCAAACCAGACCTGAACCTCTCCATCTCAACATGCTCCCACCTCAAGCTGTCTCTCTGTTTCTGAACCTAGAGGTCTGGTTTTTATTTTGTGTTCTTCAACCTGATCATTGACATTTGGGGAAAACGTCTCCATCACCCTTGCGTTATGGTCTTCTCCCTTCTTGCTGCGTTCTTGCCAACCCGTCCCAGTGGGCAACAGCTGTCCCTCACTCCACATGAGCTGCAACATCCCTGCCTGGTTGTCTGAAGCCTGGCGAACATTCTGTCTGCCATCTCCATAGTTTCTACAGCTTGGAAACTTATCTTCTAAGTTTGCAGGTCCTACGTCACAGAACTGGCATAGCGCTGACACAGGTCTTTCCTGCAATTTATACCCAGGTGATTTAAAAGTGGGTTCTTTAATAAGGGCATCATTTTCTCAGGAGCAGAAAGAGTGTGTTGGGGGGTGGGGGTCAGCATGTTGAACTTTCTTGGCTGCCTCCATGGCTGGTTTTCCTTTTTTGGGTATAACCCTGACTCCTGATTTATGCAATAGGTCTTAAAAGACTAAAGGATGAAGGAGTTCCCTATTCTTGAATAGAAGTCCACTCACAAAGAAAGGTATGGGTTGGTGGGTGGGTGGGTGTGTGGCTTTTATGTGAAGTCAAAGTTTTCAGACTTGGACTAGGGTATCTTCTACAAGAGGGGGAATTTCTTAACAGATCACCCAGTGGGTGAACGTGTTGCCTATGTGAATTCCACCTTTGTGGCTTTGGGACTCCCCGAGGCCAATGTCAAAATGATTTCTGTTCCAAAAGGCACCAGAGGTTTCACAATGCTCTGAAAAAGTCTGGCCGTCTACACACTCATGCTTTGCGGAGCCTGTTTCCTTTGCCTGGAATGTCCCCTTAAAAACGCTCTACTAAAGTTCAGTTCATCCTCCAAAGGCCCTTTTCTTTAACAAAAAAAAATTTTTTTTTTAACCTTTATTTATTATTATTGAGAGACACAGAGACACAGAGCGTGAGCAGCGGAGGGGTAGAGAGAGGGGGAGAACAGAATCTGAAGTAGGTTCCAGGCTCTGAGCTGTCAGCACAGAGCCCGACGCGGGGCTCGAACTCACAAACTGCGAGATCATGACCCGAGCCGAAGTCAGTCGCCCAACCAAACGAGCCACCCAGGCGCCCCTAACAGCCCTTTTCAAAGGCTGCCTTCTCCATGTAGCTTTTCCCCACTTCCCCAAATGGATCCTCACAGGACTCTGCTGTTCTTTTATGGCAGTTACTTTATTCTAGTGATTCCTCAAGCCAGGTAACAAGCCACTTTCTCTCCCATTCCCTATTTGGCTCAATATTCCAGTCAGAGGCAAGCAGGGCCCAGCCCTCTTGACCACAGGAGCCACACACACATTGCAAGTTTCCTGCCTCCTCACTGAACCCTTTCTAAGCCAGGGGGCCTCACCGGTGTGGCACCTAAGGGAATACGTCCACTTAATTCAAACTGAGGACAGTCCTAAAAATGTTACATTAAGTATAGGATGATGCTTCCTCTGACTACATTTTTCATTGTATTTTATGGATTTTATTTATTTAATGTATATTTTAAACTAATCTAAGTCTATTTTTTTTTTTTCAACGTTTATTTATTTTTGGGACAGAGAGAGACAGAGCATGAACGGGGGAGGAGCAGAGAGAGAGGGAGACACAGAATCGGAAACAGGCTCCAGGCTCTGAGCCATCAGCCCAGAGCCTGATGCGGGGCTCGAACTCACGGACCGCGAGATCGTGACCCGGCTGAAGTCGGATGCTTAACGGACTGCGCCACCCAGGCGCCCGTAAGTCTATTTTTTTTAATGCTTATTTATTTTTGAGAGAGAGAGAACGAGCACGAGCGGGGTAGGGGCAGAGAGAGAGGGAGACAGAGCACGAGCAGGGGAGGGGCAGAGAGAGGGAGACACAGAATCTGAAGCAGGCTCCAGGCTCCGAGCTGTCAGCACAGAGCCCATTGTGGGGCTTGAACCCACAGAACGCAAGATCATGAACCGAGCTGAAGTCAGATGTTTAACCGATGGAGCCACCCAGGCACCCCGTATTTTATGGATTTACTGTTATTTACTAATTAAAACCATGGGACAGCACACACCAGCGTGCACAGTTGTAGAGAGAGCTACCGGAATATGTATTCCTTGTCTCTCTCTCTACACACACACACACACACACACACGCACACACATCTTTACATACACTTGCTTCTAAGGCACTGAAAGTACTCAGCCTTTAGCCTTGTCTTTATGACTTGTCGCCCTGGAGTTGTATTCCTTACCAAGACATACATCCATATGCATTTATGGGCGTACGTACGATCTGCAGTGTTTTATTTATAAGTGGCCAGCTCATTGCAGCACTGAAACATGCATTTACAAACAGATATCTGTTTTATGAAACCCTATTCCTTTGTTTTAATAGCTGAGCTATCCAGCCATAGCATAATAATGTACAAGGTAAATGGGTCTCCATCTCTAGAACCTGTTCCAAGTTTTCTCAAATGTGACTAACTGCAAGAATTTCCCGACCATCAAAGAGACGCCACCACCAAAAGACCAGTTTATTCTAGACATGAAACCTGCACAGTTATAAATTGCAGAGGTTTTAGGGGTGAACTTTAACTTGAAACTACCCTGAAATAGAAGATTTGCTTCAGGGGTAACACGAAGGAGAAAACTACCTTCCTCGAAAGCACTCATGATGCAAAAGGGAAACATGCTGTTATTGTATATTCCAGGATGAAATATGTATTATATAGAAGAAGTCTGGGCACTTGGGGTGTTTATTAGGATGGCATACAATGGATGAAAACCTCTGAACTGGTATCTGTAAAATGCTTATTGTTAAAGTGGTGACAGAACATTGGCCGGAATTTGTTGAGTGCAATAATGTAAAGATAGGGAATGGTTTAAGCAAAACGTAAGAAAGAGCAGACTATAATTATTACTTACTAATGCTCGATGCTAGCGTTATTCTAACAGCTTGTGCACTGTCAAATCAACAATCTGCACTAAATAAATGACCATTTGGGAATTGCTAGGGAGCGTCTCTGTTCCTCTCCCTGCTCGACTAAAAACTGTCATTTGCAATCAAAGAAAGCGGCCTTGGAGCTGAGAACACAGCACCCGCAGCCTTAGAGTTGTCTCTTTCTGAGTAAAGACCAAAGATTCACATTAACTTGATCTTTTGCAGCCAATCTAATTTCATCCTACATGAATCCAAGAGGACTCCACGCCACGATGAGAATTTCCTGTAGGACTGCGCTAAAAACTTAATATGCTGACTCTCTTTTCTGTTACCAATCCTCTAGATTCTGAGAGGCTGTAACAGCAAATGAGGACAAGGAAGTAACCCAGATTAACTTGTGATCCTTGAGTGTGAGGCGAAGGAAGACAGTTGAGCCTTGTGTCGAAAAAGTGGTAGGTTTTTAAAAAGTAGAAAATGACTATCTGAGGCTATGAGCTTCACAAACACCTACCCAAATGGAGTAAGTAATGTGGCCTCTCCAGAGCCTGTGGATGTTTTAAATTCCATTCTGGTTCTTTTAGCAGAATATTAAGCACAGCCATATAAGTAGAGAATTCTAATGTAACTAAAAATATGTACTTACCATCAGGTCCTCAGGTGCTGGTCTTTCTTTTGGTTGTTTTCGCATGCTGTAAAAGGGGGGGAAAACCTCATTGTTATCTGTATCGCTTACAAATTTGTGCTGTATTTCCCACCGTTGACTCTATCTCCTGGAATCTGAATGTTTTCAAATTTACGAGTTCAATTCCTGGCCAAAGTATTAGCATAGATTCCTATCTTTTATTTTGGCCTTTAATTATCAGATTTTGGGAGACTCTCATGAATCAGAAACACCAAGATTTCTGAGAGAGAGTTATGCTTGCAATACAGATGAAGAATGAATTTAAAAATGTGAAAAAAACCCTGGCAATATTTCTTCCTGGCTCAGTTTTCGATGTATTTCCAACTTAAATCTAGGGAACAATGTAATTCCTTTTTGGTAACTGGGATAAAGTAATAAGAAAAGAAACATGACTACCAGGTCAAATGAAAAAACATCTTATTCCTTTCATTATTTCTCTGAATGACAAATAATATATAAAGACGTCAGGAATCTAGATGATGCTATAAAATTACAAATGGGCTGTTACATTATCTCCACTTTCTTTTATTCTGGCTACATAATGCAAGTTGATATCCATTAAATAGCTGTGGGAGAAGTTAAGTTTGTTTAAGCTGCTTAAAGAATCCCATTCCTCATACAAAATATTTCTTGTCTCACATGTAGTACGTATAATCAGTAGCTGTATCATGTACGCAGCTACATGATGAAGCACTCATACGTGGCACTGGCGTGACTGTGGGTAACTACCTATTTGGTGGCCGTATCTGTACTAAATTCAGAGTGTCTGTGGCAGGAAGTCATGAAAAGATGACTGCTTCTTCTATTACTTCAAAATCACACAGATGCTTCTCTTTACATAAGGCGACCTCTAACAAGCTAGAAGAAAACCCATCATATAATCCCTGCATTTGCTGACTATTTTTTTTTTTTAAGTAGAAAGACTTAATGATCATTTGGTAAATAAGAACCATAGTTATGAACCATTAATGACATCGAGGACATTTGCCTTCCCTATAAATAACCATATGCACCTCTCAAATACTGCATCCATTAGCAAGTAATTCAAGCTGTCTCGCCGGTGGAGTTGGTAACAGTCCTAATCTGACATTCCAAAGTAGCTGTATCTCTTGGGAAAACAAGGCTATTACCCACTATCATTTCTGTTTCGGCTTGACATCTGTGGAAATTTCAACACAGGTTATCCCTCCCCCTGTCTCCATAAAACTTCTACACAGCAGCTGATTAATTTTTTGGGCAGAAGGAAGGTAAAGTCTTATCTGCTTTTCCCCATCTGCCCAGAACCAGCTACACCCCCAAGTAGGTCTCAGGCCACACAGTGAGATGCACAGCCGTCTGATCACAAACCCCACATCTCCGGGGCAGGTGATGCCCAAACCAGCACCCCGGGCAGTTTAGGAATGGCACGGTTTATGTTTCAATTTCTGCATTTCAAAATGGGGCCTTCCCATGATGTGCTTCTGAGTGTTTCTAAGAATTCCATGTAAAGGAAATTAAGAGAGATTAATCCACATTTCTGGATAATGGCTCTATATTATCAATGAGCCCAGGAGTCCAGTGTTCAGCCAATATATGTGCTTTTTCCGACATGGCATGCTTTGGAAATAAAATGACTGCAGGGTAAAAACAGTTTTTAAAAGCTACAGAATATTATATTAGTATTTTAAATAAATAGAAACAGTGTTAATAAAATTTTTAAAGTCGGGGGGGGAATCTCTTCCTCACATATTTGTCTATGGAATATAAACTGTATGAGACATTTTTATTAAGAGGTAACATATTACACTTAGTCAAAAAGGTGATAAAGCTTGACATTTATATTAAGGAATATTTCTTGGTTTCACTTTAGTGTAATCATCAGATGGATCATGGGGGTGGGGAGGGGAAGGGGACAGTGTACAACCATTTCAGTTTAGCAAGGACTCCTGACTGCACCATTTCGTGGCACTGCAGGAATGAAAGGTTCATTTTCCACCACTGAACAGGACTCTGAAGGGGTGATGGAATGGAATTCAGTGAATGAGAGGAAGAAATGTAGAGGCAGTTATGAGAAAGTTCCAGAATGTCCAGAACAGTTTCTAGTTCGTTCTGTCTCCTGCTTTGGGGTGGTCACTGCTATGCTCCCAGTTTCCTTCTCTCTCTGTCTCTGTCTCTCTCCATGCAGAGGTGAGGGAGAAGACAGAAGGAGGGCAGTGGAGCGACGGGGCCTGGGCCACTGACTGGGGAAGAGGCAGGTGGAGGAGACCTCGTTCTACTGAGGGGAAAAAGGCAGAGGGTGCAAAAGGAACCCTTCCTCAAGTGTCAAATGTCGAGGGGCTGCCCAGAGGCTCTGAGGGCCCCTTTGACCAAAATCCTGCGGTTCCTCCCAGGTCTCCAACTGTTCAAGTGGGCCTAATGGAACCATGTTTTCATAGTCTTTCAAACATCAAAATTCACTGAAATGGGACACCAGTACTCTGTCTAAAATATATCCAAGGATAAAAGTTATTTACTGACAATCCGATGAATTAATAAACTATGCTGTTTCCACTAAGTGACAGACAGTTTTATGGGTAACTTGAGGTTACATTAATAAAAATAAGCTTCATATGTCTGTTCAATAGGGGCTATAAAATTGTGTGTTTCTTAAAAAAAAAAAAAAATTGGGTAGCAACAGTATCTGTGCTCCAAGAAGTAGCCTGATTCTCAGCAGTTTATTAAGACAGGAAAAAGCCTCTAAAGTACATTTACGACCCTTTGTGTAAATAACGTTTACATAATTTAAACAATTTCTTCAGCTTTGCTGCCCCATCTGCCCAAGGCCCCGAAGTCCCTCCCGTCTCCAAAAGGAAGCAGGGAGAGCCATAAGGTCTCACGGAGCCGCAGAGTTAATGGCATGTATCATTTACATTGAGGGCATGGCATGTTTGCAAACGGGCTCACCACTGAGTGATGAAATGTACAAATGGCTCGGAGAACTCTCCAACCGGAAGGACAGGCGAATCCTGGGATGGAGGAGAAACAAGTCACCAAAAGTCACAACAATTCCTCTTCTTCCTTTATATCCACCCCCACCTCCCCCCAAGGAACAGCAGAATATATAACAGGGATTCACCAACATGTGGAAAGGAAAATAAGGCCTCGTCCAATTAAAAAGACTGTCGACACCCTCTCCCACATGTTTATGTAAAAACGCCAAATTTAAAGCCACACACATTTTACAATAGTGAGAAACATGAGAGCAAAGAGGGAGGGGAGGTGAAAAAAGGACAATGATAGCCACAGGGTAGGAAAGAAGGTACGAAAGTGTAAATGAGAAATTAATGATTATTTAAGTAACACACAAATGGTCTTGTAATTAACAAAGAGCTGTGAAATTATTCTTGTGCTGACCTCTGTTTCTTTTACTGGATTTGCTATTTATTTACACTTTCCCTTTTATTTACATTTATTTGTATATTCAACCGGTCTTAACTGCCTGCCGAATCATGTGGGTCAGTTTGCTTTTGTTTTTGTTTCTGTTTTTTACTTGAATAGAAAGGCTTTTATGGGAGAAGCTGTTTCTTGAAAAGGAATTTCAGCCTATTTGCCAGTCCAGGCAAACTCGTCATAGGAGAAAACCAGTGAATTAAGGACACAATGAAAACCTCCCACCTTGACCACCAAACAGAACCGGGGTGGAGGTGGGAGTCACTCAAATGAGCAGGAAACAACACAGCAACAAACGACAACCACCGGGTAACACAGGGAGCAGACCCCATTACCATTTGCAAAGGAAGGCTTTAAGAATTTAGGAGTTTTTCCAAGAATGACAGAGAGCGCCACTGTGTTTATAGTGTAACGGCTCAGGATGTAATGAAATTACACTGCAGAGTACTTTAACAGTCATCTCATTAGACCTACAGTTGGAACAAGAGAGCCACATAAAGTAGGCAGCTGCAAATGACTCCATTCCCATCTATTCTCATTTGCTATTAAAAATACCTTTCGGCGGCTTTTTTCCTCTCTGACATCCCTACACAAAGTGCCCTGCAAAGTATGATACATGCACCTATTTAAATTAACAAAGGAATGACTTATTTTAATCTCACTGTGCTTTGGAGTGCTTTGGCCATTTGGATGAGCAATATATCATTACATACAACCTTCCAGCGCTGCAGGCAAGAAACTCAGAGCATGCAGCATTTGGTGGGAGCCAAACAATTTCTCTAGCACACAACTGTGTCAAATGCATGCATGTATTCATTATTGAGAACGAGAGGAAATAGCTTTGATGTAGTGGAAAAAAGAAGATGATAAAAGCACCTCTGCAATATGCGTGTCATTATCAATGGTGGCAGATAGATACAATTGCACAGCCTCCTATGTGATTAGTAAATATACATATAATTGCTGTGGCCAATTATCAGAAAAATGAGATCGGTAATTACAAGACAGAAAATTAACTAGAACTCTTATTAAGGCTTTGTTTCCAATTCAAACAATTGGAAACTGCTGGAAAATACAATTAAATCAAAAGGAACTGAGGGGGTCAGAGCAGCCAAAAAAACAAAAACAAAAACAAAAACCAAAAACAAAAAAACCAAAAACCAAAAAACAACAAACCCCAAAAACCCAAAGAGGTTAAAAGAAAAGGAATGTGAACAAAATGATTCTTCGATTTTGCATATCTGTTCTCTTTGAATTTACTCTGTTCATCCAGAGCAGGGGAAGGTTAGTGATCATAAACTTAAAATTCTCATCAGTAGAGAAAGGTTTCCAAGAAGAAAGGAAAACAAAGGAAAACGGGAGTGAAATAAAATCTTGCCAAGTTCAAAGGATTACATGCAGGCATTACACAGAGACGACATGAAAAACGGGGGGCTGATGAAACAGTCCGCTCAAAAGAAACAAGGCACGCAATAACATGACAAGTCTTCGATAAAGGTACTATAAAATGGTCACAGAAGTCCCATCGGTTTGAAGAGCAAAAATAAAACATGATATCAATTTCAGCCTGGCCTGTTTTAGGAAAGCCATATATATCACCATGCCTGCAAGACCCTACGAGGCCCAGTTCAAGAAATGACATTTCACTGTCTCAAAAACTATTAGTAAAAAAATGGTTCAAAGTCTGAGGTACAAAAACTATGGGCTCTGATCAGGCAGTTAGTCCCCTCAGTCATCATTTCGGAGATTCTTTTGAAGGCTGTGGTACTGGAAGTGTCTGAGTAGTAGCTGATTTAAAATGCAATGTTTAGGAAGAGAAAAGCCTACTGCCTTAATGTGGCTGAATATTTACCAAGATGGTTAAAATTCTGGTCCGGTTTTCTACGAAGATCCTGGTATAAAATGATGTCATTGTGGACCTCATTTCAAAGTATGATACCAAGAGTAAATTAATGAATTATAGACTAGGCAACTTGATGAAGATGTCATTTTAACATGGATGAGAAACAAGACGAGGAAATGTGACATCTTTGCATGGGTAGTTAATTTTATTTAAGACCTGATATTGTAGACTGTTAAGTTCCTCATAACATAAAACTAAGGAACACTGGGTGGTACCCATGAATAATTTATTTCACTTGTGAAAATGCCAGCCCAAGTCGACTTTACAGAACCAGAGAGAGTGGATTCTCCTCTCAGGGGTGCCTGGAAAGAATCAGTCATCAGAGATGCAGGGGGGCGGTTGGGGGGGGGGAGGAATTCTAATCTCACATGCATAATGCCAGGTATTTCTTTTCCTTTTAAAAATCCATGTCTCTTGCATATATCAAAGGAGAATTTTCTGAGATACAGAAGACTGAATGGCAGGCAGGGGGCGGGGCAGTCAGAATGCCATGACCAACATGGGGGTGGAGGGGGAGCAAAGGAGTCCTCTGAGAGCCCCACCACTCCACAAAAGCACACAGGCTGTTAACACTCTGAAGGAAAGCAAATGATAGTGTTTACCACACTGGAGGATTTTCAAGTATACTTTTCTCATATTTAAGCAAGTAAAATCAGAAGTTTCTTTAGATCAGCATGTAAAACACCTCTAAGAACCTGCCTATTTCATTATCTAATTCAAATGTGTGCGAAGGAGGGAGGGAGGCTCAGCTCAGAGTGGAGCTGTCCCAGTTTCCCTGCAGCTCCCAGGGAGGGAGAGCATCCAGTCACCGCCAGGTTAGAGGGAGACTGAGAACCATGCCAGGGGGTTCAGGGATCTAGTGAAGTACTTGCTGCTACTTATCAAAAATGTCCTCTGCCAAATATGGGTTTAGGGAAGATGAACAAATACATTTCGAAAATATAAGCGCGAATTGGAGAAGCAGTTACACTAATAACTCTCAGGACTGGCTGAAACTGACTCTAAATTGTTAATAAAAGTCACTCTTTTTTAAGACCCTGGGTGCCATACTTCACCTTAAGGGCTTTTTTGGGGGGTTAGCTCTTCTGTTGAACTTCTAAGTGTAGAGGTATGGAATGAAGCAGTGGACACAACCTTAACCAGAAGCCTTAACCTGAGATTCTAGTCCCAAATCAACTTTAGAGTCCTGCTAAAGGGACACAGGCTGAATCTTGTTATCGAGCCGGCAACTGTTATATAAAAACAGCTGCCATAAACCATTTCAGTAAGCAATTCTGGTCATCAAGGAGGACAGTCTCCAAGTCTCAGAGGTTTCTGTAACTACCTGGTCAGCCCCCTTTGCTAAACAACTGGAACACAAGCACGTGGCAGGCTAGAGAGCAGCGAAGGACAACGGGAAAAAAGTTTGAGTGATGCCTTTGCCTTGTGAATAATGAACAGTTCAGGAAGGTCAACCCATTACAACTGAAACTGTTTAATTATTAATTATGCACAATCTATGAGCAAAAGGACAAGTTCAGAATGTTTAATGTATGCTAACTTCAACTGGACTCTCTCTGGGTATTTTGTTATTAGCACTTGTCAGCAAGGTACTCAGGCATAAAAAAAGGCAAGCAGCAGAAAATCTGAGTTGGTGTGTGTGTGTGTGTGTGTGTGTACCTGCACAGTCAAAGAGTGGGGGAGGGGGGAGGGAGAAGGAGGTCTCATTCCAGTCACTGCTGCTGCTAGTTCACTTGCAGGCTAAGTATGTCAATAAGCACACTTTATGACTTGAAAGCAGGCAGATAGGTTGGGTACTCGACACACAGAAAACACAGATGAGGCTTTTGGAATCACTTACTTAAAAGAGAGATCATCATTTTAAATGTAGAGTTTTTATTTTTTTTTTAACTATGATGTTTCTTGGCTTTGAAAAGATCCATGACGACATTTGTGCACACATGTGTGCACACACATACGCTTGAGTACATAGAAAACTGGTAGAATCTGAATAAACTGAGTGAATTCTATCCATGTCAATATCCCGGTTGTGGCATTGTACTGTGTTTATGAGCTGCTACCACTGGGGGAAACCGGGTGAAGGGTGAACAGGCCCTCTCCATGTTATTTCTTACAGCTGCGTATGAATCTAAAATGATGTTGAAACAGAAAGTTTAGAAAGAAAAAGGTAGGGACCTATTTTTAAAAACTCTGATGAGGTCCGGATTCTTGGGAGAGCTTAGCTTTATGTAAGGGGAAAGGCTGGCCTAACTACTCAAATGGAAAGCAGTTAAGGGAACTTGGCTTAAAAAAATAACCTGAGGATTTAATTTTTCCCTTTAACTCATAATTAATACGACAATGAAACCTGACAAGGATATGGTAGTTAATTCAGACACTGATAAGGCACAGACATGAAATACTGTATAAAAATGATAGTCTGAGGCGTCTGGGTGGCTTAGTTGGTTAAGTGTCTGACTCTTGATTTCGGCTCAGGTCATGATCTCATGGTCCTGCGATCGAGCCCCATGTTGGGCTCTGCGCTGAATGTGGAGTGTGCTTAAGATTCACCCAGTCTCTCTCTCTCTCTTTCTCCCTCTGCCCCTCCCCCACTTGACATGCACGCACTCTCTCTCTGAAAAAAAAAATGATAGTCATTCATTACTTATTTATTGGTTCATTCAGTCAATAGTT